TCACACTGATGGTTAACATTCGTTGGCACAACGAATGCTGTTGCTTTGAAAGGCCAACAAGAATCATAGCCCGGGTGAGGACACATGAGACTATAATTATCAAGCACATCCTGTATTTTGAGAGCCATTGAAGGAGATAAAATACTACGTGGGATATTGCTTTTAAGCCAGATCACGCTCACGTCTTCCCACCTATGTGGAATAATCCCTCACATGATGCCATCCATACCAGCTTTAAACTCCCGTGCATTTACATGCCAGGACTCTGTGCTCTAACATTTGCATTTTGGTAGCCTGTTTTCTGAGCACATGGCACATTTCATGTGAGCATCACACCAAAATGTTGGATCATTATTAGAGCACGTATTATTCAATTTGATCCCGTCCCTATTTCTTGCCTTCAAAGTACAGCGCTGTTAGGAAAAGACATTGTTAGTATTCTGACAAATAAGATCTAAGCTTCCCTCCTTCGTTATGTCTCCATAGAGAGGATGTTTAATTTGAGAAGCTGTGATAGTTTACACGTGGCTGCACAGATCGTGGGTGAGGGGGTATTTCGCCTGCTGCTTTTCAGCTGTCACCCCTTCTGAATTCACTTGCTTATCCGCACCGTCAATAAACACCTTTATTCTCCTATACTAGCAGTGCTAAAACATGCTACCAAGACTGCTGCTTAATGGGAGAGAACGATTTTTCCTATTATCAGCTCTCAAGCGCTGACTGACATGTTTTATTTTCAGCTCAAGACTTGACTTTGCCATTGACAGCGAAGCTTCTTTTATTGTCGAAGGATGCCTTTTTTAAAATTTCAAGCAGAACACCATTCAGCGATCTTACATAATAATGCAAATGATTTCAGTGCCATAATTAAGCTCTCCATTTAGTGTCACTGTGTTTTGCACATATGACTGAATGTCTTATGAATATATTGAGGTTGGTCAGTTCACTCTGAGTTGTTTATATCTACATATTCACCATTCAGATAATCTGGTGTCTTTTGGTAGAAATAGAAGGAAATAGGGGCAATATACATGCCACTGAGTAAAGAGATGAATGCACACTACACAGTGCAGCTTTTAAAACCGTGCAGTAGTCACTTGAATCGTGAATATTACCATAATTATCCAATAAACAAATGTAGCAGCTGTCAATAGCAATGATAAACATTGAATGTCTATGCAAACACCCTGACCACTGCCAGTGTTATTGTTTATAATTTCCTGTCTTTTGCCAAAGTTAGAGTAAATTAAAAACTGAAAGTCAGTGTGATTAAGTGGATTTAGTTAACAAAAATAAAACATTACCATACTTTAAAGAAACAAATTGTGTATAATTTGTATTTACACAGCTAACAGCAGCTGCTATTAATAAAGGAACGTCTGCATGGCAGTAAATCAACTGCTTTCACACAGTGATTGCGTTGTTATACCAATTCTTAACATATTCAGTCTTGCCCCTAAACAAATGGTCCTACATTCTAATGAAAGATTAAACCTCAGAAATGATAACAATCGAAACGAAAACGAAACACTGAGAAATATAAACTGAAAGTGGCAAAATTGATGCTTTTGTTCAAAAGCACCAATGAAAAAATTAGATGTTCATATAGACAGATCTGCAATCTGTGAGCCAAGTGCAACGTTAACGTGATGATTTATGATCATCTTTTTCACTCATTGAAAAGTTGTTCACAGTGGAACTCCCACAGTTCTCTGCAAACATGACTGCAAACACCTGTGTGGCAAACATCGGTTTGCACTTCAGTCTAATTCAAATTCACATCACAAACCCTGCTGCACAATTCACAGCCCCTCTCCCTCACAGTATAAATGGCATACTGTATAGTATTAAAATGCTGAGCCACGAGGAACTCTATTAAGTGAAGCTGCTGGCAGATGAACTGATTAGGTCATATTATCTTCAAGGGAATCACACTTTGTAATTCTGACATGGACAGTTACTCACTTTGGAAAATCAACATAAACGGCGATCTATAAAAGCAAATAGTCTTGGTTTGATTAATCAGACTGCAAACATGTTATTCTCCTTGGCTACATTTGTGAATCAAAGCAGAATTTAGTTCCTGCTTGTTTCTTGTGCTTTGAGCTGTACACATCAACAAGTTAAGCTCTCATTGACACATGTGGGCATTTGGTAGGTGTTCCTTTAACAAACATTTAGTGGCTGTCCAATTAAAAACCAAACACTTGTTACATAATATTTACATTTTCTGACTAAAGTCAAACTGACCAACCAAACAAGCTGACAACCATCAGCATCAACAGTCATATTATTCAAAACCTATACATTTCTTTTTGCATTATACTTTGAAAACAAAAAACAAAATGCAAAATTGTGATTTTACTGTATTGCCAACATGCCTTTAGAATAGAATAGAATAGAATAGAATAATCATTTTATTGTCCCACAAGGGGAAATTTGGTATTTTGTATTTTATTTATTTAACTCCTCTGTGTGTGCAGTTTATTCCCATTGAATGAAAGAGGTTTTTGCCCTCTGGGACCATCACAATGATGCTAAAATTTCATAAATTGTACCAACGCAATCTGTCTGTAACCTCAATACTCAACACATTCGCTGTGTGGGTCCCAAGATACTTAGCCTTTTAAGCAAACACATGTGTCAACACTCAGTCATGCACATACACCCAAGCCAGCAGTGAGCAGCAACAGCTTTCAAAGTGCTGTTTTTTAAGACATTGTTCAGACTGTACTGTAAGATTTACTTTTTATACCCTGAAAAAGAGTCACCTTCCTGTTCCTGCCCTGTTGGCTTATCTTCCACAAGGTTATGGCAACATATTTCAAGAAGCAGCAGTAGAGCTTGCACAGTCTACAGCCTGGCCTGTTTCTCTGTGATAGCCCATCACTGCTGTTTGTGTGCCAGAGCTTCTAATAACGGATTATCATGGAGCTGCTCCACATGTTTTGCTGAGGCCTTTAAGTCTTTTCATTACAGAAATTGCTTCATCGTTTTTCTGTGACTAATCTATAATAGCTAAAATTGTAATAGGGCGCATATTAGATTGTGCTGCCAACACTGTGAGGAATTACCTTAATAAATTATTGTCTATGGACATCTGAGGAGCCCACATTCACATGAGGTTCATGGCTAAGATGAATCCATAGAAACGTAATTAGACAAATGTTAAATATTCTTTTTGTGTGATAAATTATTTCTCCATATCCACCCAAGACAGAAATATAATTAAAAGACAGTGAACTCATGACTACTGTCTAACTCCATGATGTTATAAATGCACACAACTGCCTCAAAGTAATCAACGTAGATGTTGGTGCTCACCATTTTGTTAACAGTTCTGCGTTATAAGCCATGCTCATCAAGTGATTGGGTTGAACCAATTCACTGTGCCTAAAATTGAGATTTTTTTTTTTTCAATTATTTTAATGTGTGATTTTTATCCATGTTTGGATCAAATCAGAAACACCAGCTAGACTGTGGGCAGACAGACACACTCTGAGTTCCTGGTTTGATTGTTTGTTCGGATATTCACTCACCCACAGCTGAGAATTGTGGCTGCCTGAGCGACCAGATATGAAAGTGCATTACTAGGCGTGCATTAGACTATCAGTAACCTACGCTCAACAGACTACAAACAAACAAATGGACGGAAACACTGCAGTTTATGCCTCCTACATGGACTTGTGCATGAGTCAGCAGAAAATTCAGACCATATGGCTTAACAGTGACCAGAGGAAGACAAGTTGTCTGCATGTTAAATGAAAGCAGCACTTATAAATGCATATTTCAAAAGTAGTATTCGTGGTGTTAAAATGAATGAGCGACCAAAATGAATGACTCTTCTGAAAGCCTCCTGACCACAGTGAGTAACAAAGAACTTCTTCCTTCTGAGGAGAGATTTAGGAACCTGATACTGTCATGCAATGTGATGACTAGGTTTCAGTATTCAAGCAGTTCTATATAAAACATGCTGATCCATACAGAGGCTTCTTAATTCATAACTGACAGGTCCGTCAAACAGATAGTCTGCATACAGCAAAGGAAATATACAAGGGGCATTATCCTAACTTACAATCAGTTGAACGTTCCCATTAGCACAGTAGGCCTGTGCATGGTGACTTTGACAGTAAGGACAGCATGACCCAAAACTGGCATCAACATCAGTGGACCAACATAGCAGCCTGAGAAGCCAGGGTGTGGGCCCTGTCCTTTACAGTAGCTAAGGTATATAAATCTTATAAGATAAATGTCCTGTTAAAATAATAATAATAATAATAATAATAATAATAATAATAATAAATAGTAAAAGGTTAAAAATGTGTCAACGTTGAAAATGTTTTAATGCAATTAATTTTCTACAGGCCGCTGAGAGGAGCAAAGCTCATCTTCAGAGAAGAGAGGCCATTAAGCCACCCTCCTCAAGAGGTCTGTGCCTAAAAGTCACCTTGGGAGGCCAAATTGACGGGATAAGTGATGGCGCAAACGGGTTGGGATTGGGTATCCGCCAAGCAGGCAGGAAGCAGAGCAATATACAGCTGCATATCTAATTGACATCAGGACTTCGGTAAAAAATGTAGGCCAACAAGGGCAATGACACTGTCCTGTTGTGACTTGCCATCCACCATCTCCTGAACGCCCTTTCACTTAATGGGCTTGCTGGGCTGTAGGGCTGCTTTCCTCTATGAGCTAGAGTGCTGGAGGAACATGGACTGCACTCAGCCTGCAGCTCTGCAGCACCACGAGTCCCCTTCACTAGCAGGAGCTCGAAGCACCTTTACATGCTCCTGTCATGCTCCATGAATTCAACATTTTGCGTCAAACAAACAAACGGTGCTTTCACTGGCACCGTGCTGTCTCCATGCGCTATCGGATAGGGCCTAGTGGCCAGACCTGTGCTCTGGTTTATGTAGGTCATCAATGACAACATCTGCGATATGAAAGGAGGTATTTCGTCATCATGTGGCTATCAGTTATACCTTTGCACCGGGTGCTCTTACCTTCTGCTGCCGCCTTGCCATATCTGTGGGCTGTTTTGCATTGAACGGGTAAGCGATGCATCGCATGACAAAAACATATAGCTGCAGCTTCTTTTTGCGGTCTTCTTCCTCTCTGTGCAGCTTCTCCAGATCCTCCTTCTCCTCGCTGACGGCCGAGGGGCTCGGGCTAGTAGGACGGGCACTGCTGCGGCTGCTGCTGGGCGCTAGTCCACCCGAGCTCTCGCTGGTCCTGCTCGGGGAGATGCGGGATCCGGCCTGAGGAGCCATTGCCTCTTTGCTTTCCTCCTCCACTATCCCATCAGATTCCTCCTCGCTGGACGACGGATCTAACATCTTGCACTAGAAGTGGTGCGCCTCTACAGAAATCCGAACCTACTAACTGAGTTTGTTTGGGTTTTTTTTTTAAATTGTTTTAAATATATATATTTGTATATATCCCCAGATGATGGCCGAGCCGCTGTCTTACCCGTGCATAGATATAACGCAGGATGTGCCTGAAGTCGAGATAGGGATAGGCCCTGGTTGTACTCGCTGGCTGAGGGATGTCAGCTGTATACGAGTAATGCTGGAAGAGCTATAGTCTGCTTCACACTGACCATTCTCCGCCTGCGCCGAGCACTCGTCGGTGCTTACGTATTTTCGGTATTTTATTGGCCAGTCGCTGCTGCGGATGTGAGAGGGGGAGGTGAGAAGAGTCGGAGAGGAGGGGTGGAGGGATTGTAGTGTATATGTGAGGGGACGAGATCGGCTTTTCCCTCCCCCTTTCCTTTTTTTCGGTGAAAGCGGGAGATGGCCTCTTCCTTCCTGCCAGCCTGGGACCCGGTCGACCGGAGCTGGCCGTGGTCCTGAACTCGCACTCGAAGCAAAGATCCGAGTCTGAAGCGCGCGCGGCTCCGCGTGTAGTGTAGCCCCTCATAACTTCACGCAGTGGCACACCTAAGATGGCTGCCACCGGATTTCTCTGATGTTGTCACTGACTGAAATGGGGAACATTATGAAGTGCACGGGCCGCGCACGGGATGCAGAACAGCGGGTGTAAAATGCCGCGTGCTGTCGAAGGGTGGGGTTGCAACACGGAGCGAGCTGCCTTCTCCACCTCTCTGAAGCTGCACAAATGAATTGTTACAGCACGTGCTGGCATCCCTTGTCAGGAAATCTCACCACACAAGCGTTTCTTCTACTAAACAGGAATTAATTATTCAAGCTGAACAGAATCCCCCAGGTGTCTGACTCACTGTTAGTTACTGGGCCAGTGTGAATATGCAGCATAACGCGTTGATCTTTAATGTGAATCGGACTTTAAAAGAGAACAAAAACAAAAACACCGTTTTGGCTGTGTTACAGTACAGATGTGTTGTAGTAAGTCGTTTCGTGCAACACTAAGCTGTGATGTTCTGCCAGAGCTTAGCACACGAAAAGTCACGTGATACTTTAAATCCTGCAGACACTACAATACTGGAAGCACAGTCCGACTGCATTTATATGACACATGGCTTACTCTCCTCGTGAAGTGCATTTTTCTTAATAAAAAAAAAAAGGCAAAAAGGACATTTTTATTCCCTTCATCCGTCCTCTATGCAATATTTATAGCAGTTCCCCCCGCAAAGAAACCCTACCCCAGTCCAGTACTCACAGCATTGGCTTTAAATACTGAGGCTCAGAGTATTGATATTTTGTTGATAATTATAGTAACTCCCCGCCAGTGAGACAGTTTTCCTGAGTGTGAGACTGAGATGTCCTGACTGGAACTACAAACTCTCAAATAAAATGCTTCAATTTGCTTTCACTGCAGTGTCTTACAGTCTTTTATGGTAGTACTTAACATAGACCTGTACTGATAACTCTGAAGCAGTTTAACCGAAAAAATATTGTTTCCTGTACATATTTTAAAGCTTTCGATTTCACTGTAACAAGTAGAGCAGAAAGGAATGGTTATCATCCCCCAGTCTTTTAGATCTTACTCTGTGTAAAGTCTACTTAATATTTGTCTTCAATATGGCAACAAGCAAAAAATAGATTTTATGGAAAGGCTCTGTTAAAGTAAAAGAAGAGGAAATATTTGCATTTATGTTCCTTGACTCATGGTGTAATTTCTGAACATTCACCACATAGTTCTTCTAAATTCGGGGTGTTTTCGGTAGCTAAAAATACTTGCTGATTCTTAAGATCCTTACTCCCTTGTAAGTACTGGGAGCTGTTCTACTTGTGCTGTGGAACAAGGAAGTAAAAACTGGCAGCCTTAAAGTAAAGGCTAAATGAATTATACGTCAAGAATTTTTAAAAATAAAGTACAAAGACAAAGCCAAAATCTTTACGGTAACAAAAAAACCAATATGGACAAAAGTATTGGACCACATCTCTTACTCAGAATGCCAAATTTGATGACTAAGACATAATGGGTCATTCTAAAGACCTAAATAAATTTGAGCATGTTACTGTAATAGGATGCCACTGATGCAACAAGTTAGCTTGTGAAATTTCTACCCTACTAGATATTCCATCATCAAATGTAAGTGGTGTTATTGCAAAGGAGTAAGTGTTTAGAAACCACAGCAACTCAGGCCGTAAAGTTACAAAGAGGGGTCACCGAGGGATGAGCTTCATAGTGAGTAAACATCATCATTAACATCAGCACAAAAACTGTGAGCCAGGTGTGGCATGGCTTTTAATGTCGGAGTAGCTGCCTTCAAGCCTTACATCACCAAGAAGACTGACAAGCTTTGAATGGTGCGGTGTAAAGCATGTCTCCACTGGACTCTGCAACTGTGGAAACTTGTCCTGTGGAGTGACGACTCATGCTTCTCTACCTGACAGTTTGATGGATAAATCTGAGTTTTTGAAATGCCAGGATAACATTACCTGCCTCTCTCCACTGTGCCAGTTACATTTTGGGGGAAAATGTTGTGGGCTTGAACCTAAGAGCCTCCTTTTTAGTTCCAGAGAAGCGAAATTTAAATGCTTCAGCTTGAGAAAGCCCGTTTGGACATGATCAAAGCAAGGTGTATTATGGCTCTGTTGGATGAATTTGCTATAGAAGAATTTGATTGGCCCTGATCTCCTTTGGAATGAATGGTGGTTGAAAGCCAGACTCTCTCATCCAACATCAGTGTCTGACCTCACAAAAGCATGTCTGGATGAATGGGATTCGTATTAATGCATACAGGGTTGTAATAAAACTACTGTAATGTGTCATGTGTAGCTGGCCCAATTTAGTCCAAATAGTGTCCCATCTGGGCATTTTAGAAATAGTAAGTCCTTTTCTTGCATTTGATGTACATATTATTATTAACAGTGCCAGTATTAAATGTCCAGAATTCTGTGTAAACGACAAAGTTTGACATATGCGGGACTCTTGAGGTAGAGAAGTTTAAACAAGCTTTAATACTTCATGGTCCAAAAAAGCAGAAATTAAATTAAATAAAAAAATCACAAAGTCACCTAGTTCACAATCCAGAAGATAACAAAGAAGCCAAACATCCAGAATATGCTTAGGAAATGTGGACAACATGATAAGGAGAGGCTCAAACAACATGTACATAAAATAATTAGGGGAGAGGTAGCTGGTGGGATTCGTGGCTGAAACGACAGGGAGGAAGTAAAACTAAATACAAAGTGTCAGCAAAAACAGAGTACCAAAATCAAACAGGAAGTAACTAAACAGGGAATCACTAACTGAGGCAAAGACTTCTCAAGTCACAAAAGGAAGCCTTTGTCTAGCTTTTCCATCCTGGGAAGGCTAGAGTAAAACACCAGGGATCAAAACAATACTGATCTAACAGAAAACCAGGTAACAAAAGCTGTAAGAAAAAAAAAAACTAAACAAGGAAGCGTTCAAGAATAGAGACAAAAAACTCCAAACAACAAAACTCAGATTATGATCAAAAGCAGAGAATGCTAAATAACAGATCAGAGGTCAGGGTCCGTAAAACACAAAATCAACCCTGGCAATAAGAACTTGCAACCCCATAACAGCACAAACTACATTTTTGAATATCTTAGAAAGCAAGGTTATTTTTGAGGTGCAGGCTGGAATATCTGCTTGTCAACTGTTCCCTTTTATTATAGACACACGAGGAAAATAAAAACAACACAAAACAACTAACTTTCAACAGACACCATTAAACTGAATGTTAAACGGATAAATAAATAAATGTTTTTTATCTTACCTTTTCAAAAATAATGAAAAACTATAAATAATGGACAAACTCTATTGAATAAATAATGATATAGACAAAATTAGAAAACGAAAACATGAAAAAAATTAATTTTTATTATTATAATTTAATCTGGAGTATAATAGCTTCTGAAAATGCCACATTTTCCTGCTGAATGAGAGAACTTGCAAAACCTCCTTATGAATTATATCAAAGTCAGTATCCAAATGTATGTGTACTACAGTCTAGGACGGGGCAGCTAGGATACTTTATAATAAAGCCTGCACTGCCAAGAATATTGTGTGTTAAAATTCAAGAAGTAGCCGCACTAAAATACCCAAAAGTTTCCACTACTTAAAGTTTTTTATGATATAATTGGTTTTTCTTTGGCTCTACAATTGCCAGCTCACCCTTGTTTTGCTCTACTTAGGTACTGAACAATTCAACTCAAATTCAGGAGATTCACATATATCACACACTGAAATAATAAAAAAAAAATCTGCTCAAAATACAATGTAAAAATAAATTTACTTAATTGATATCCAGTTTATACCAAGCACATCATCCCTCAGTGATTCGTTATTTGAATGAATAAACCTTTGCATTTGCATCCTACTCAGAATTATTGCTTCATGTTTATCGAGAGTAAAGAATCTTTTTTTCCTTTCAGTGTAG